TGTGTGTGTATGGTATGTGTGCATGTGTTTCTGTGTGGGGGTGGGGATATGTGTGTATGTATGTGTTTCTGTGTGGGGGTGGGGATGTGTTTGTGTGTGTGTGTATGTTAAGTGAAAGAATTGTTTGGTTTCTAGTGAATTTTTTACTTGATTTGTATTTTTAAAAAAAACCACTTGAATGTGCATGTGTAAAAACAGGCCCACCTTATACCTTTCTGTTCTGATCTTTCTTTCTCTCCTGAACACACATTCAATCTTAGAGCTCACCCCCAATAGACCCCCTATTTTTCCTTTCTCATCAGAGGTTAGATGTACTCGATCTAATACCTGTCTCCACTGGACAGCCACTCTCCAGAATTATCTACTTAGCAGAAACATAATGACTAGCAGCTAGCTTTCAACTGTTCTAGAGTTCTAGTTTCTTCTTACAGATCTTACATGGATCCTACAGATCCACGCACACTGCTCTTCTCCTAGAGATACACACAATTCCACAGCCATCTTTTTAACACCTTTATTTTTATTGATCTACTTTGATTTGACATCACCTTAATTTCCAAATAGATCCCTTCCCTGCCCAGAAAGACTCCCCTGGAAACAGAGAATAAAAAAGAAAGCAAACAAAGAAAGGCGAGTCTGCACTAAGCATCCCATGGACTGAGCTTGGCAGGCTGTTCAGTGTTCCACACCCGTATTGCCCCACCTCCACTGTTGCAAGCCAGGGAGGTGCTTCATCGGACAGAATTTGAGTTTCATTTCTTTTGTTTTGCCCTTTCCATTTACATAGTTGAAGTCATTGCATAAATTGCTTTCTTAGTCCTCTTTCCTTCTCTCTGTATCCATTCTTATAAGACTTCCTATGCTTGTCTGTCAGCTATGAATTCATTGTTTCTTACTGTTCAGTAATATTTTATTACATTCAGGTATAACAGTTTCTTTAGCCATTCCCCACGATGGGCATCTATCTCTTTCTAGTTCCTTGTTACTACAAAAAATGCTGCTGTGAATAAATTTGGTGTAATACATGACCTTTCTTTGTACCCTTGACCTCCTTGGGGTAGGTAGCTAGCAGTGGGATTTCTGGGTCAAAGGATAGAGACCTTTCAGACACTTTCTTAATGTAATTACAAATTGCTTTCCAGAATGGTTAGACCAATTCACAATTCTACCAATAGTGTATGTGTGCCTGTCTTTTCACAATCTCTCCAATATCAACTACGCCTATCTTTTGTCATCTTTTCTAATTTGCTGCATTTGAAGTAAAAGCTCAGAACTGTTTTGATCTGCACTTTCTCATGTGACACTGACTACCCTGGTCTTCCCTTTGTCAAAGGCCAGGTATGTTAGATTCTATCTCTCCCTCCCGGTTCTCTGGTGCCCTTAAGGGGATGGGGAGCAGAGACTTGGTTTTCTGCAAATGGCTCCAGCCCCTACCAAGAGTGTTCTCCCAAGTATGGGACATGGTCTCTTGTGCCCTGGTTTCATTTAATCACTAACAATTGGATGAGCTTTTATAAAGAAGTCTAAATTTACTTCAAAAGATAATAACAAATACACAAACATATCCAACATGTGGGAGACATAATCTTCCTCCTCCCCCCTTTTATGCCCTCAATTTCTGGGAAGGGGAGAGGAGGAGATGGAGTTCATAGTTTAGCTCAGTTTCTACAGAGCACACAGTTCCAGTTTCAAATTCAAATGCACCATGCGCTTGGACTTGAGTACTAGTCACCTTGGTTTCTCTGGGTAAAGCTTTTCTGCTGGACTAGCGGACTACACCATCCAGTCTGGAATCCTGGTTCCAAGGTGGCCGTGGCTCAGATCCCAGTTAGGGATTGCCGCACCAGTGTTCAAATCTGAGAAACAAAACAGAACTGAAACCAACACCCCTCTGCCCATTTCTCTGAGCCTGGGAAAAGATACGGGAAGGAGGAGAAGGAAGGCTTTGTCTCATCAGTTCAGTTCAGGGTGCCTGCTGTGGGTGGATGGTGACCTTCACCTTTTGGACGGAGCAGGAAGGAGTGAAAGACAGAGAGAGCCATTTTCCAGGCTCGGAGAGTTTTAAAGACGTGGCAGCCAATCAAATGAGGCTACCCTCACCCGTGTGGTAGGGAACTCAGAGTGCCTCAAATTAGGTGGGTCCAGCACCTCTTCTCTCCCACACCTTCCCTTAGAACCTCCCAAAAACTGATTGTGTGACGTGGGAGACTCTGGCATGGGCCCTCCTCAGAGAAGGTGCTGTGTTCTATGAGCAAAGGAGAATTGAAGTAGCTCGAAAGAAACTCGAGACGCACAGATGTTCACATAGACTATTTACACCCAACCTGTGGTACAGCCTTCCGACTCATATTGGTCTGATCAGCCAGAGTCGAATTCATTGCAACTTGACCCTAACATAGTGGTGTCATTTTGGTCTTCTTCAAGAACAAGGGACAACAACCAACAAACTTAGGCTATCTGAGGGTTCCCACAGATGGCTCCTTAAGGGTTCCTCCATATTAGGTGATCTGGGCTCCAAAGGCAAGCCCTGTTACACTTATTATCAGGGTAGAGTGTGCCTTAAGGTTAATAGTTCTTGAGAATATTCCTATCTCCTGACCACTTACCTACTGGGTCTTTGTCTTCTGTATTTCCACAGACATCTTATTAAAAAAAGCACTGAGGTAGCACAGTAGACCTGGAGTCAGGGAGACCTCAGATGTTTACTAGCCTCAGCCACTGTGTGACCCTGGACACAGTTACTTAACCTCTGTTTGTCTCAGTGTCCTCATCTGTTAAATGGTGATAATAATAGCATCTATTTCCCAGGGTTGTTGTGAGGATAAAGTGATGTGATACTTGTAAAGAGCTATGTAAATGCTAGTTATTAAAAAGGCCCGTTTAAAAAAATACACACAGGCAAGTTTGAACCCTCTTAGGAGGAAAAAAACAACAACTCCAAAACCAGGAGAAATTCTAGTAGCCTGGAAGCTTGAGATCCCCAAGTTAAAAGTGACCTTAGTAATGTCTATTTCCTAGATACTTCTACTGTATCTCCTCTGAGCTTTCTTTTGCTAATGCAGAAGAGTAACGGACAGAAGAATGGATCATTCCATCTTCTCTTTCAGTACTAGCCACACACCTCCCCCCACCTCCCACCCCCTTCTTTGGGTGTCTGCTGGTAAGTAGGTTGTCTGACCTTGGATGCCAGATAAGTAACTTCTACATCCCACACCCCACACCCTGGCCGTCATCTCTCCAGGTACTAACATGATACCACATGCCACTAGACCCCTTTCAGCCCCTTCAGCAGGTATCATTATAGCATAAGAGTCCTATCATTCTGAGTTAATCTGGGATTCATCATGATAGCTGTGACCATAATTAATTTATTTGGTATTAATGTGGATGAAATATGTACTGTCCTTTCAGGGGAAATCATACTGCCTATAAGCATTAGTTAAAAGGACCATTAAAATCAAACCTTCCTCAGATCCATTAGGCGAAGTCTTTCATCTTGAAGAAGATAAAGTTCTGTCGTGTGAAATGTCATGAATAATTAGGTTGATTGCTGTTTTCAACTCTGCCCCTGCCTCCTCTACCCCTCCCATTTCCTCCTATCTCCTCCTGGAAGCTGGGAAGGCTCACCTGATGTTGTTCAGTAATCTCCCCTGGTGCTGACTAGGTCTATACTTGGCCAATTAGCCACTTCTGCATGCCCCAAGTCACTTGCCTGGCTCTGCTTTCTATCTAGTCAAAATGGGTTGATCTCTACTTTCTCCCTGAGGCCCTGCAGTGAGTGGCCTTCTCTTCCTTTCATTCTGAGCCTGAATAGTTTGGAACAATGCCCCTGGCCTGACGTTCCACCGCCACCGGGCAGAAGCAAGACCAGCTCTGGTGCCCACAACTCTGCTTTGTAGATGACAAGGTCACGAAAACATTTCTTGGGGGTGGGGAGTAAGGAGCCCAATTGACATTGATTTCCCTCTTACACCGACCCACCTAAGTGACTTGAAAGTACCATAGGACTGAAGAGCTAGACCAGGAGGGGACCTTAGATGTACTTTAGACTAGGGACTCCTTTCTTTTTGTGTGTGGTAGATCCCTTTGGCAGTCTGATGAAACCTATGGAAGCCCTCTTCAGAAGAATGCTTTTAAATACATAAAATAAAATACATAGATTACAAAGGAAACCAACTATATTGAAATAAAGTTATCAAGATTAAAAAAAAAAAACTAACAAGGTCATGTAATCTAGGTTAAGAACCCCTGAACTCATCCAAGTCTCTCATTTTATAGATGAGGAAACTGAAGACGGAGGGATTGTGCCTTCCTAAGGTCGCATAAAATTCGACTCTGGCTGATCAGACCAATATGAGTCGGAAGGCTGTACCACAGGTTGGGTGTAAATAGTCTATGTGAACATCTGTGTGTCTCGAGTTTCTTTCGAGCTACTTCAATTCTCCTTTGCTCATAGAACACAGCACCTTCTCTGAGGAGGGCATGCCACGCTGGGCGGGTCCCATGCCAGAGTCTCCCACGTCACACAATCAGTGTTTGGGAGGCTCTGAGGGAAGGTGTGGGAGAGAAGAGGTGCTGAACTCTCCTCAATTGAGGCACTCTGAGTTCCCTACCACACGGGTGAGGGTAGCCTCATTTGATTGGCTGCCACATCTTTAAAACTCTCCAGGCCTAGAAAATGGCTCTTTCTGTCTTTCACTCCTTTCCTACTTTGCTTATCTCAACATGATTTGTTTTGGCTCTCTGGCTTGGGCCAGAGGACCAGATGACCACATCTGTGACTGGTTGGCTACAGGGTGGCTCTGGATCAGTGGCATCGCTTCCCCTTGAGGCCAAATGAGATAATATTTGTAAAAAGGTTGCGAGCAGTGCTGGCACATAGTAGACACTGTGTAAATGCTTATTCTCTTTCCTTCCCCTTCCCTCCTTAGGGTGCTGGTACGGGAGGCACAGACCCATCCACCCCTTGTAATGCTCTTCTCTCTCTGGTTCTCCCACAGGCGCTTTGGGACAAAATGCACGGCTTGCCAACAGGGCATTCCCCCCACCCAGGTGGTACGTAAGGCCCAAGACTTCGTTTACCACCTCCATTGCTTTGCCTGCATCATCTGCAACCGTCAGCTGGCCACAGGGGACGAGTTCTACCTCATGGAGGATGGGCGGCTTGTGTGTAAAGAGGACTACGAGACAGCCAAGCAGAATGGTACGGTCCTCTGATCTCCTGGCTGAATAGCAGGGTTCCCGGCCCATAGACAAGGACTGATGCTTACTCACTTGCTCATGACTTGAGCACTCCATCTGACACTACGTTGACCACCCCTCCCCCTCCCCAACAATAACGACGACAACAACAATGCAACAATAATAGGACATACGAGTAAGAGGACTCTCAGCTTTCATGTTAAAATCCTGGCCAGGGTGGTCTAATACCAGACGGCTGACAGTCCCACCTCCATCCCGTCTGTAGCAGACCAACACCACAGGACTCCTCCCATCTTAGCCCCTGAATCAGACTGAATCACATGAACACATCAGACTTCTGAGGAGTCTGGCCACCAATCTCATCATTGCCCCAGTCTCTAAGCCTTTGCCCCCTTTCGCTAGCCAAGAACAACCTTAGTTTTGGGTCCCAGGCAACCTCGTCTCCAGCCTTTCCTTTCACCCCGCATTATTAACCCAACTTTAAGAGATGCCGGATAAAAGAGACTAGCTCACCTTAGGTGTGTAGCTACTTCTAGGGGAGGTGCTTGGCTGCCACAGTTAGTCCAGGAAAGGCAGGAGGATTCTAGAATCACTGCAGAAGGGGAGTTGGTAGCAGGGGGAAACATTCCACCTACCCCTGTCCCCAACATGGATTTAGGATTTGGCTAAGCTTGTGCCCTTACCTTGTATGAAAAGGTCTAGGGTGGGGTTTCTGAAGTGCCAAGGAGGGAACTGGATTTGAATCTGGTGTTTCATTTTTTAATTTAAATGTTCTCTTTTTCTTGTGAACTTAATAATAAACAAGCATAGGCATTTCAATGTACAAAGAAGAACAAGAACGGATGAATGAATGTGCTAAGTAAGCACATTTCATAATATACTGAGAAAGAGGCTTATATAAGAAACTGAACTGTATTATATGTACGTAAATTTAAGTATACACACAGATACACAATTTATGTGAATGCATACATATATGCACACATAAATTGAGTTCTATATGTAATAACAATAATAACAGCAGCTAACATTTATATAGTGCCTACTATGTGCCAGGCACTGTGCTAAGAGTTTTACAAATATTATCTCATTTGGTCCTCATAGCAGTCCTACGAGATAGGTGCTGTTATTATCCTTATTTTACAGATGAAGAAACTGAGGCAAACAGAGGTTAAGGGACTTGCCCAGGGTCACACAGCTAGTATGTGTCTGACGTGGAATTTGAACTCAGGTCTTCCAAGTCCAGTGTTCTATGCACTATGGCACCACCTAGCTGCACACATACGTGAATTGAACAAAGTAGTGAAAAAAAACCCTGCTCTCTCTCTCTCTCTCTTTCCTCTCTTACAGTTTTCTTTTTCTTCTGTGCATTTTATGAAATATCTTATTTATGCTATTTTCTTCTTTTTTTTCATAGCTTTCATATGCTAAGTGGAGTGCCATGTCATCTGAGGGCCCCTTTTCAGAATAGGTCCCTGAGACAGAATTCTCTCTTAATTCTGGAGCAGGACTTCCTCCTCCCATTTCCCTTCATGATTTCTGCTCACACTCTTCCCCAAAGCCACTACAGCTTTTGGGGAAGCCTCTTCTAGTGACAAGAGCATTTCCAGGTCAACAAAGACCTTTTCTGTTTTAATCTGTTCTCCCTTATGGCCCCACCTGAGAGTACCCTTCTATGTTGCTTTTCTGGAGGTGATTATGACATCACAGAAGATCAGACCTTTCTGTGGGGGATAAACTATCAAAGCAGATGGACTCCAAGGAGAAAAATCAACAACCCTTTGATACTTGGATCCCCTCTCTGTAGTCAGTAGAGAAGAGGGGGAAAAAAGTAGAATGAAGAGGAATCATCATTTTTATCTCAATGTGTCAGAATGCACGGAAATTTCTCCAAATAAGTTATCTGGGGAAATTTTGCATATGCACATACGTGTATATGCAGACACAGAGCCTGAAGTAGAGAAGAAAAGGAAGAAGGAAAGCATTACTTAAATCTGGGAAATAAGGAGTGGGGTTTATTTATAGGCACATTTCTTTTTGGAAAATCTTCTAAAAGGTGGCAGAGATGGTTTTCTTGGAAAGAAATGGAATGGCATATCAGCTGATGTTTCTTTTGAAAATCCATATGTCTACATTAATTCTGTTTGGTTCATACATGATCACTGACCCTACCTACATTCACCAATGTTACTTTTGTTCCTCCTAATCCTCCTGATCTCCTTTTTCTTCTTCCTGATTCTATATGCACTTGGCTAGGGGGAATATACATAGATATAGATAGATCTATAGAGATAGTTGTAGATTTATCTACATCTGTCTACATTTGTGTGGACATACATCCATCTCTCTGTCTCTGTCTCTCCTTATAGCAAAACAAGAATTTCACAGGGGAAAGGGAGCATTGGCCCTAGAGCCAGAGGAGGGAGTTCAAATCTCTTCTCTGACACTCTCTGTGTGACCCTGGCCAAGTTCCTTAACTCAGTTTCCTCATCTGTAAAGTGACGGCCTCTGCGATTCCTTCCAGCTACAGAGCTCTGACTAGAGCAAGTCCTCGGTGATAATGCTGAGTAAAGGAACGTTGGTCTAGATGCGAAGCCCGTCCGTTCTCTCTGTAAACACTTACTCTGTGTTTTAAGCTCTGTGTGGAAAGGCCCTGCACTAGGGGTTGTCAGGTACGCCTCTCTTGGGAGAGCCGTCTTGGGCTCGATCTCAAAGGCACGGATTGATGAGCACGAATTAAAGGTGAGGAGCAGTCTGGGCTGGCAGAACAGCAAGAGGAAAGCCACAGAAGGGGAATCAAAGACCAAGTAAAACTTTCACCTTCTTCCTGAGTCTCCTTAGCAACACTCTGAAGCACTTTCAGGCCCTGGGGACCTGGCCACAATTTGTATTTATGAATATTTCTTTTGTTCTGGCTTTCAGAGGAGAAAGATACTACGCTGTTAATGGTTCTAATCAGGATGTGCCTTGGGCAAAACCGTGAAGTAAGGATGTCGGTCTTCCTTGGCACCTCCATTCCGCCTCCTGGAGCCCTCTACCCTCCTTCCCAGGCCCCAACCTCTTCTACAGTGCTTACAACCACCCTGGTTTTCCTACTACTCTTTGTTTTTGACGAAGGTCCTGATGTCAGCCATTCATACCTTAGTTTGAATGAATTTGTGGATGTATTTTCATTTTAAATAATTTCCAATTAAGGAAGGAAAAACTGGCTTTTCTAAAAGGAATTTAAGTGACCAGTTGGCAGGTGGTGTGTGTGTGTGTGTGTGTGTGTGTGTGTGTGTGTGTGTGTGTGTATGTGTGTGATTTGTCATGTAAAGGGAGCAACTTTTTAATGTTAGATCAGATAATCAGTCTATGTGCAAAGTCACACGAACGTGGTGCATTCCTCTCTAAGGTGTGTAAGGCCGACCTTGATCATTATAGTCATTTTTGGTCTTCCTGCTGTTTTAGATGAAGGGCTCACAGGGAGTGGTCTGTAGTGAGAAGACAGGGGAGAATACAGAGATTCCAGATTTAGAGGTAGAAGGGACATTAGAAGATCACCTTGCTCGATCCCTTCATTTTACAGATAAGAGAACTAAGGCCCAGCAAATAGAGTTGGTCAAAGTCCACCAGGGCTGGTAAATGGCAGACCTGGGATGCAAGTCCAGCACACCACCAAAGAGAATAGAGGAGAAAGGGGGTGTCAGGGACATGGAGTCCTCAGCATAGTACGTTGCATGTTGTAGGCATGGAGTATTTGTTCAAATAAATTGCACTACAAATTGCCCACAAATGGTGTTTTGGTGAAATGTTTATCATGATTGAGCCACCGAGGCAGTGCGTCTAGCTATTTAGTCAGTTGTCAGAAATTCATGGTAATTATAGGCATGGATCATTTTAGCCCCAAATTATTTCTCTTCCCCCTTAAACAAAAACAAAGAAAAGCCCCAGCTCACTTAAGTCAGCTTCATCTTCTCTCTCTGTCTGTCTCTCTCTCCATCTCTCCCTCTCTCCTCTCTTTTCCTCCCTCCCTCCCTTTGTTAAATTGGGGCAGTTATTAAGGAGCTAGAAAGGAAAAGGCGTGATCTGATGGGAAGCAGAGAAAAGGTGCATTTGGTCCAGAAGCCAAGAGGCGCTAGCACTGGTGACTTCCTTCCTAGGTGACTTTGAGCAAGTTCTCTGTGCTCTCTGGAACTCGGTTTTCTCATCTGAAAAACGAGAGTTTTGGCCTCTGAGGCCCCTTTGAGTTTTCCTCCTCCTTCCCTTGTCTCTCTCTCTCTGGTGAAGATGCAAATGAGCAGACAGCCAACGGGACCAAAGAGCAGCAGCAAGGAAACAGATTAATTAATAAACTGGAAAATCAACCCCTAAATGATTGATCACCGACTGTACATGAGATGGTCCCTGCTCTCTGAAAAACTCACATGCTGAAGACACCAGACAGACGAAGCGCTCCTGTTCTTTTAATATGCCATTGGCTTATAAGAACAGGAGGGGTTTGTCTGCCTCAGTTAGGGATAGATTCATGACTCCCAAGGCTTATTTCTTCTCCTCCTCCTCCCTCCCTCCCTCTCTCTCTCTCTCCCTCTCTCTCTCTCTCTCTCTCTCTCTCTCTCTTTCTGGCTGGGTGAAGACAATCTGTGATAAGCCTTCAGGAAGCTGAGGACTGAATATCGGGGAGAGCTGACTTGGTGGTTAAAAGACAGAAAGGACAAGGGTAGAAATGGAAAGAGGGAATACGAATGAAGGAATGGAGAACTTTTTTCTTGACTAGAAAGAAGGCAGAAGAGAGAGGTGATGCAGGCGGGGCAGACGGGCAGAGAGGCTTGAGATACTTGGTCCATCCGTGATACAAGACAGAAAAGGTAGGGTCAGAAACACCAGACACAGAGAAAGACACACAAGAATCACAGAAAGAGAGATGGAAGGGATCTTAGAAGCCTTCGAACCCGACCCCCCTCAATCTACAGATTGTTACATTTTTATTCTGAACTTAACAAACACCAAATAGAAGAGGCATTTGCATAGACACAGAACAGAAATGGGGCTCGCACATGAAACTGCTGGTGTCCATAACGTGCAGTTTGCTTTTCTTTGTAAGTAAATAACATCAACTTGGAGCTTTCAAAGCTATTTGCCTGACCTTTCTGTTCTTTTTTACTTTTTAAAAGATGTCTCAATGACCCTCTCCCCTCATTTTTACAGTTGAAGAAACTGAGGCATAGGGAGGTTGCCTAAGGTTAGACACATAGTAACACATGTAACAATTGGCAGAAGGTGGGATTTGAATGTTGGTCTGCTGATTCCTCTACACCAGGCTGCTTGCCAATATCAAGAACCATTTTCAATTTTGTATCCCAGTAATCGTTGGCATTTACTTAGTATTTTAAAGCTTGCAAAGTGCCTTATGTATATCACGATCTCATTTGATCCTTAAAGGAGGCAGCAAGGTGGCTCAGCGGACAGAAAGCTGGACCTGGAGTCAGGAAGACCTGAGTTCAAATGTGACCTCAGACACCTACTAGCTCTGTGACCCTAGGCAAGTCACTTCACTTGTTTGCCTCAGTTTGCTCATCTGTAAAATAAGGTAAAAAAAAAACACCTATCTCCAAGGGTTGTTGTGGGGAACAAATGAATTAATAATTTTAAAGCATTTAGCACAGTGCCTGACATATAGTAGGCACTATATAAATGTTAGCTATTATATAGATAATACTATATAACTATTATATAGACAATACTAGGTAAAAGATTAGCTCCTAGGCAAGCTATGTTGTTGTTCAATCGTGTCTGATTCTTTGTAACTCCTTTTGGGGTTTTCTTGGCAAAGATACTGGAGTGACTTGCCATTTCCTTCTCTAGCTCATTTGACAGATGACAAAACTGAGGCAAACAGGGTTAAGTGACTTGCCCAGGGTCACACAGATAGTAAGTGAGGCCAGATTTGAACTCAGGAAGAGGAGTACTTTCAGACTCCTGGTCCAGTACTCTATCCACTGCACCACCTAGCTGCCCAAGTGTTATGCATAAAGCCTTCTATTCAGATGAAGGATTTTTTTTTTCCCAATTGCAGATGACTCAGAAGCTGGAGCTAAGCGGCCTCGGACCACCATCACAGCCAAACAGCTGGAAACACTAAAGAACGCATACAAGAATTCCCCCAAACCAGCCCGGCACGTGAGGGAGCAGCTGTCTTCCGAGACAGGGCTGGACATGAGGGTTGTGCAGGTGAGACAGCTGCTCCTCTAATCACTTACCTCTAGCAGCCGCTCAGCCATGGTCAGGCTTCACTTTCCAATGGTCAGAGGCCCTGGGGCAGGCAAGAAGGTCATCTGGAATCTGTCACACAGCAGGCAAAGAGAAAGTCTTCCTTCATTTGAAGGAGACAAGAGTACTCAGGAAAAACTTCTCCTCCTTTCTCACTTTAGCTAATGGCCTGATTTTTAGGGAGACCCAGGGTATATGAGATGAAAGGATCTTGAGCACAGGCCTGACAAACTCCAGTGGACAGCCAGACATGGCATTTGCCTGGAGGCTGGTGCTGCAGTCAATAGAGAATATCTTAGGAAGTCAAAGGGAGGCCAAGGGTCTCTAGGGCCACCTACATACATAAGGACTCCCCTCTACAGTGCCCCTGACTAGTGCTCTTTCATTTTTGGCTTGAAGACTTTCAGTGATGGAGCCTCCCAGAGCAGCTGCTCATTCTGTTTTGGGACAGCTATAATTGTTAGCAAGTTTTTCCTTCCATCAAGCTAAAATTGGCCTTTCTTCAACTCTGGGATCAACAAACAAACAAGTCTAATCCTGTTTCACAGGACAGCCTTTCAGATGTCTGAAGATGCCAATCATACTTTTGTAAATCATCTATTCTCTAAAGCTAGAGTTCACCAAGTATGGTCTGGGGACCCTTGGGGGTTCCTAAGGCTTTTTCAGGGGATCCATGAGATCAAAACCATTTTCATAACCATAATAAGATGCTTAATTTCTAATATGATAAACATCAGTAGATTTAACCCACATAAAAATAAGTTCCATGAGGTCCTCAATTCCACAATTTGTGGAATCAAATCAACTTTGACATTGTTTTTGAGAAGGGTGTGTCAATCTGCTCTCCTAAAGGTCCACTCATTATCCCTACAACTTTCTAACTTTCCAAACTTTCCAAACCAAAATATCCTTCCCTAGCCACTACTTTCCTATATGCATTGTCTTCTCCTCTTAGAATGTAAGCTTCTTGAAGGCAGGAACTATTTTTGTTTTTTTTTATACTTGTATTTCTAGCACTTCTTACAGTGCTTGGAGTATAGTTAATGTTTAACACATTTTTTTTCCATCCATTCATTCATTTACTAATTCATTTATCTGTACCTTCATCCAAATCATTGATAAGAGTGCTGGAAAAAAATAGGCCAAGAAAAAATATCTGATGGCTTTCTACTAGATATTACATGACTGCTATGTTAATCACCACTCATTAGGTTGGGACATTTATCCAACTCCAAATTCATCTTAGTGTGCTAACAGCTAGCCTATACTTCCTCATCTTGTCCAAAGAGATATTACTAAAGTCCAGTTCTTTGCTGAAATACTGGTACATGGTATCTGTGGCACTGCCCTCATCTGTCAGTCTAGTAAGGATAGGGAGGGGATAGGAACTAGATCTGTGATTTCATTGCTATAGGGAACTCTCAGGTGAGAAAATTCCCTCTACCTACTTAGGTTGGCACCTTCTCTGTAACTGGTAGTTTTAGAGGGTTGCTTAGAGCACTGAAAAGTTAAATGACTTTCCCAGAGTCACAAAACCAACATTTGTCAGAGATAGGACTTGAACACAAGTCTTCCTGGTTCCAAGATTGGCCCTCCATCTTCCTACTACCCCATGCTGCCTCTCCATCATTTGAGGAACTGTCAAATATTGAGTCAATATGGCACATGAATGTCACTTCTCTTTTTAAATGTTTACAAATCATCCACTGATGATGCATTCTAGAATTTTGCTAGGAATTGATTTCAAGCTCATTGGTTTCTGGTTTGAAGACTCTATTTTCTTCTTTTAAAAAAAAAAAGGATGTTGCTCTATCTCCAGACTTGTGGTACTTCTCTTGTCCTCCATGATTTCTCAAAGATCCCCAACCATGGTTCAGCAGTCACATACTTTCAGTATCCTGGTATGAAATTGGTCTATGCCAGATAAACGGATTTCAGTGAGGACAGCTGGATGAAATCTTACTAGCTTTTCACTTACCTTGGGTCTTCCCCCACCTTTCTATTTTTCCCAATTTGAAGATCATTCACCTTGATGGAGAAAATATAATCAAAAAGTTGAGCTTCCCCCAGCTCATTTCTTGGCACTCATCTACTTTACCATAATCTTTCCATCTACTTTACCATAATCTTTTCTGATTCCTTCTCTTGCAGACAACACAACTCATCAATGTGGGTATCCCATCCAGTGGTGAAGATCAAAGATAATTAAGCATCCATGCCTTTATTTCTTGTAATTCCTGTCCATGTCCTCCCATATATCTTCCAAAAAGAATTTGCTCAATAAGCTGAATGCTTTTTCATAGGTCTTTTCACATTCCTTGGGTACCATTGCAGCATTTGTCCATCCTTGTTCTCACCAGCCCACCTTTATTTTGCAGGATAACTGAATCAGGAAAACTTGAATTCAAATCCTGCCTCAGGCACCTAATAGCTGTGTGACCCTGAGCAAGTGTCTTAGCCTCTGTTTATTTCAGTTTCCTCATCGATAAACAGGGATAATAATAGCACCTACCTCTTAGGGTTATTGAGAAGATCAAATGAGATAATATTTGCAAACCTAAAGTGATAAATAAATACTAGTTTTTATATTTACACAACTTCTTGCACACCAGTCATATTTAGTGTTATGCTGCAGCATTTCCACCTCTACTGCAATTTTGATTTATCTGAGGTTGTGGTGTCTGGCATATAATAGGGACTTAATGTTTGTTGAATTCAACTGATTTTCTTTCATTTGCAATATTGTAGCATCTCTTCTGAATTCATCCTCAGACACCTCACTTCTTCCTTTTGAGTACATCTTTTTAAAATCTGAGTTTGTCGATGAGTTTCCCACGCACATATATTGCCCTTTACCTCCCCAGAGCCTCCCATTCCTATTGAGTTGACTTCCCTGATAGAACCTCTGGATAGGACAGACATGGGTTCTACTAATCTTTCCTCTGAAACCTTTGAAATCCATTCTCTCAAAGCTCAGGATGCTTCCACCAGCCTCTGCCCACTGAGACATCATGACCTCTATCTAACATGGCATGATCTCTTCCTCTCAAGGTCTCTGCCGTTTTCACTTCGTTAAATTTCTCATTACGGCTCAGAATCAGGTCAACCTGATTAGTAGTCCCCTGGATGAGAGTCAGTGCATGTGAAGACTTTGTCCACTGTGCTGAGCAACCCCTCCGCTTTGGGATCTGGAAGAGGGCAGAGAGGTAATGCCTTTATTAAGCACTCACTATGTGCCAGGCAGTGTGCAGGAATCCATTATCTCCTTTTTTCTCATGGTCTGTTAGTCTGTCGTGTTTTCCCATGATAACATTGCTTCTGTTTTTCCAACTGTTTTCAATCATACTTCACACCTCAGTTCACACTCTTCCTGAAGGCGAAGCAATGAAATCAATATGAGCCCTAAAGTGAAGACTGTTTCACCCCCCTTTAGCCTCTACCCTCCATCAAATACAGGATCACTAATCCTCAGGGCAGTCCTGGCCTGCATGAAGTACTTCATGAGGCGATCTGCCATGGGACTTCACCAGGCTTGTACAACGGGAGAGAGGTGACTCTGGTCAAGAAACTGTGCATCATACCAGGCTCTTAGGTACTTTCAAATCCGCCTCTGCTTTATTCTCTTAAAAATTTGTTTTTATTGTTATCTTGTTTTTATATTTGCTGGCTTTCTCTATATATCCTGTCCCTTCCCTCACCCAGAGAGCCACCTCATAACAAGGAATTAAAAGAAAAAAGAAGAAGAGAAAAAAAATCAGTAAAATGAATCAATACAGTGAAGCTTTATATGCAATGTTCCATACCTGTGGAGCCTCACCTCTACAAAGGGTAGGGGGGGAGGTGTCTTCTTAGGGAAAAGCTTGTTCTTTATAATCTTCTCTGCTTTTCAGTATCCTTGCTTTGCAATTTCCTCCGAGTCCCTTAGTGACAGTGGAGTCAACAAGTAATCTTCATGTCCTCTGACCTTGAATTCTAGGTCTGGTTCCAGAACCGGAGGGCCAAAGAGAAGCGGTTGAAGAAGGATGCTGGACGTCACCGCTGGGGCCAATTCTACAAGAGCGTCAAGAGGAACCGGGGAGGCAGTAAGCATGAGAAAGAGAGCTCTGCGGAGGACTGTGGGGTTAGTGACAGTGAGCTGAGTTTCCGAGGTGAGCAGGGACACAGTGACAAGGTCCATCGGGTTAGGGAGGCTTCCTGGTGTAATAGGAGAAACCACACTGGCCTGGGAGTCAGGAGACCTGAGTTCTAGTCTTAGTTCTGTCCATGTCTAGCTGTGAAGTTAAGAAAGTTATTCAGTCACTCAGCTTGGGGGGTAGAGCACTTAGTTATTTAGTAAAGAAGGGATATAAGGCCAGCCCTATCTATCTGCCAGGGTTGTGATCAGGATCCAATAAGACAGTAGAGGTGAATTTGCTTTGAAACTGTTTGAAGCATCATGCACATGGAAGATATGTCTTCTGTGGTGGCAAAGTCCTTGCTTCTAGGGTAGATACAGGCCAAATTGAGGGTCACACAATAAAAGAATACCTGATTCATTCTCAGCAGAGATGAAGCTGCAGATTCTTACTTCCTTTCAAGAAGCATGCCTTTACTATTTAGCTGGGAAGGGTAGCAGGTGTGGTCAGAAGATGAATCATGAGGGAGAAAAGGTGGGGCAGTCTATGGATGGTGTCTTGCATGTTCAAGAGTGATGGAAGAAGGGATGAAAGAGGGTGGAGGGTGGCCATGACCACATGGTCTTGCAGTTGAAAGGGAAACATAGCTTAGGTGTGGTGGTAGTGGTGGGAGGAGTTCTGGCAGTCCATGTTCACCACCCCCCCCCACACCCCGAGTCCCTCAGGGACTTAGGGAAAGTCCCTTGTTCACCAGTATGAATCTAGACTGCTAGTGTATTTGAAAACAAATTGCGAGAACAAGAGACTTGATAAACTGCTTTGTGACTCATCTCTGTACAATGACAGAGGGACCCCTAGATAGAAATGGACCTTCTGGGGGAATCATTGAACCCTCATAAGGAACCTTAGCTTAGTTTCTCATTGGCCTGATCCCAAGGTGAGGTAGCCTACTCTCTGGGATTAAAGCTCCATAGAGACAAATGACCTTTTACGGGAAATGAGGGTGCCCCTTGGCTTCCCTAGATGGGGTCACTTAAGGAACAAGAGAATACCTTTCCTTACTCAAGTTTATGCTTTATTCCCAGAAAGTAGCTTATTTACCCTGAGGACGAAACCCATGTCAACAGAAGGAGGCTCCTCTCTCAGGTCTTGATAATGCTGTTGTTTTCTCTCTCTGAAATGTCTTGGTGACCTTATTTATTCTCTTACTATTTAACTATCCTGCCCCAGTCTCCCTCCCTAGCTCCCATTCTGTTTCAGCAAGTGCCTATAGGACATTTTGAACTAGATGTCCCAGAGGCACCTCAAACTCAACATGTCCAAAGCAGAACTCATTATTTTTTGCTAAAACTCATTCCTCTTCCTAACTTCCTTATTGTTGTTGTTGTTGTTGTTGTTGTTGAGGATACCACCATCTTTCCAGTCAGGCAGGTTCACAATTGCAGAGTTATCCTCAGCTCCTCATTTTTCCTCCACTCTCTCCTCCCTCATTTCTAGTCAGCTGCTAAATCTTGTTGACTCTATCTCCACAATTCTCACATCCATCTCCTCTTTGTTCATGTGGCCATCATCCTATTTCATGTCCTTACTACTTCTCACCTTGACTACTGTAATAGCATCCTATTTGGTCTCCCTTTATCCATTTTTCATAGTCTCAAATCATTTTTCCATACTGCTTCCAAAGTGATATTCCTAAAACACAGTTCACTTCCCTGCAATAAACTAGAGTGGTTCCCTGTTAATGCTAGGATCAAATACAAACGACTTTGCTTGGCATTTAAGATCCTTCACAGCCTGGCTTCCATGATCTGTGAAGTCTTATTACATACTGTTTTCCATCACTCACCCTTTGGTCCAGCCAAATTGGCCTTGCTTTTTTTGCACGTGTAACTTTCCATGTCCCGTCTCTGTGCCTTTGCACTGGCCATCTCTCATGCCAGGAATGCCCTCCCTCCTCACCTCTGCCTCAAAGATTCCCTAGTTTCCTTCAAAATTCTGCAGAGAGGCTACCACCTGAGGCTTTTTCCAAACACCCCCCCACTAATTATCCTGTATTTATCATGTATATATTTTATATTTACTTATATGTACCTGTTGTCTCTCTATGTAGAATGTACGCTCCTGAGAGCAGAGACTGCTTCATTTATGTCTTTTTTATCCCGAGTGCCTGGAACTGTGCCTGGCACAGAGCAGGCACTTAATAAATGCTTGTTGATTGAGATCCAACAATGGTCCTGGACTGCTTTTACTATCTACACCTGAATGGTGTTTTCTCCCCTTTGCCTAATCAACCAAAGCCAGGAAATCAAAACGCTTCCTTACCCTGGAAGAAATGTAATAAAATGTCAGTAGAGTCAGCACTAAGGGCAGGTAAGATAGGCTCCAACCCAGGGTCTACCACATGGAGGGGGTGGGCAACACCAGGGATACTTTTGAATGTTACGTTTTATAAAAGCACCAGGAAATTCTGCTCTCAATAACCTGTAGGTATTTATTTTGTGATAACACGCTTAATTAAAATGAAGAGTCCATTTGCATGTGTGATAATAAAGGCTCCAAACCGAGTGTGGAGGGTAAGACTGAGCTGAGGTCCATGCAGGCTGAGGGGGCTGCCTCCTGGTATCAGCACTTGGGGTGTTCCCCTGGTAAATTATGTCAGCTTCCAACTCAATTCAACAAACATTTATTAAGTGCTTGTTATGTGTAAGACTCTGTATCAGGCCTGGGCAAACAGAAAAAATATGAACAGTTCCTGTCCTCAAGAAACTTATATTCTATTGGGAGATCTGTCATAGAACACAGTTTTCAGCTGTGATTTGACTAGGACACCCTCCCCCACCCCCAACCCTTGGCTAACTCTTCAGTGGCCTTTGAATTCCTCAGGCCTCTTGGGGATGTGCTTCACAGAGGACAAACAAGGCCACTGAAGCACAGTCTTTTTGTTGTCTGGAGCTTCCAGTGCCTTGCACATAGGCATACAGGAAGTGCTTAACAAACACTTGAATTGGTGAGAATCAGATGGGTTTGTTCTGGCCTCTGGGATGAGTCTCATGTAGGTATTTTAATTTTCTTCCCCTGAATTAAGTCTGCTGTAGGATGGTGGACCATTGCCAATGACTGCTGGCTGGTGGTTGGCAGTGTGGCAGCTGGAGTCCTTGTGCTTCTCTTTCTGTAGTGTGCTCTCCTATCTTGTGAAGAGCCGGGAGCTACAGGGTGACTGGCGTCCATCATTAAATCTCCATTCTTTTGTCCACAGAAGATCAGATTCTCTCAGATCTCGGCCACACCAATAGAATTTATGGCAATGTGGGGGACGTTGCAGGCGGACAGTTAATGAATGGGAACTTCTCCATGGATGGGACAGGACAATCTTATCAGGACTTGAGGGATGGGAGTCCTTATGGAATTCCCCAGTCTCCGTCTTCTGTATCATCCCTGCCATCCCACACTCCATTACTCAATGGCCTGGATTACACGATGGACAATCATTTGGGAATCATTGCACGTGGAGGGCAGGGAGTGACCCAGACACTGAGAGTGATGGCTGGGGGGCCTACCTCGGATATCTCTACAGGAAGCAGTGCTGGCTACCCAGACTTCCCAACCAGTCCAGCTTCCTGGCTGGATGAAATGGATCACCCTCCTTTTTAAATGACTCTGCTCTCCACCCTGCTTATTCTTCTGGCCTGAGAGTCCATTCAAGTATCAAGAGACAGATATACTTTTCATGGATAACAGATGCACCAATATAAATTTCCATTATTTTCAATGGAAGTCCTCCACTGATTCCTGGAAGATTGTGATGCGATAATCGTAGGGTATTGTTCTGTGGGGGAATTTGTGGGAGTAGAGGATTCCTTCTGGAAGAGCATGGGGAATGGATAATGTATGGCTCTGATTAAGGCCATAAGGAATGCTGACTTGTTCGTACCCTCATGCCCCATGCTTACAGGCTTTGGCATTTCATTACTCTGGAAGCATGTGTGACTGTGACTGCTTTGGGAACTCCAGTTCAGCTGGTGTGTTTTCACTGACTGCTCCCCAAAACATTTGCCTTTACCAGGAAATGAGCTTCTTGCGCTAGAAGCAGCAGACTCAGTGCTCCCTTGAAAAAAAATGCTCTCTGGGCCCACATCACCAAAACCTAAGTTTGGAAGTACAGTCATAGGCTCCCAAAGTCACCGGAAACAATGACTGCTGTTTGATAGCAAAAACACTTCTCATATTTTTGGTGTGAAAAGAGGACTTCTCCCCTCTACTTGATTTATGTCAGTGTGTCCTTGATTTTGTTTAAACAAACAAACCCATGAACATGACCTTTGACTTGTCCTTTGGAGGTGGGAAATGATTATCCTACTGATTTACATCTGGAAATTCCTTGGTCCCTGATTGTGATAATTTTATTCACTAACATCACTCCCTCTACAATCAGGCTACAAGTTAGAAAGATGATGAAATGCTAAACTATGGAGTCAACAATGTAGAAAGACAATCAGAGAAAATAAATATTGGTGAAGATGCAGATTCTGAACATGTAGTCAGTTCAGCCCTATTGACTAGCGTAAGGTTTGCTTGGAGGGACAGTCATGCAAAGAGGCAGAGAGGTAGTGCTATATTTAGGGGACATTTTGAGTTGAGCTTTTAGGATACCCTTGTGGGTAATCCCTATTTAAAATAAGAGCCTTTTGCAACACTGAAGAGCCATCCTGGACCTTTCACTTAGATGTACATTTGTTCAATGTTTTACAATTATATTGACATCCTTAAAAGTGACAGAATGTGAACTATCTGTTAAATCTCACATTTCTTGGGAGCAGGGGTTGGGGTAGGAATCATACATACAACTACAACTAAAAGACCCAAAGAAGCCTAGCTTCTTGTTGCACCCATTTCTTTTGGGGTCACTGGCCATTATATCATTAGGATTATACCTGGGCCCATCCTAGGTAAGTTTGTTCATCCACTAGGTATAGAAGTGAAAGCATCTCTAGGGTTACCTGGTCTTACAACAGCACAGCATAAATTAAGAGAAAAGGGGAGGGTCAAAACCTGCTTTACAAGAACCCCAGCCCATAGCAGACACCATTGTGGGGAAATGGCAGGCTCTTTGTGTGCAAGCTGAAATTCTTCCAGATGGTTTCCTCCCTGTTGCCATGGGAAGCAGGGGACACACCCCCACCTTGTCTCCCTATCATGTGGATGTTTCTGCCTGCTTCATACCTGCCATTGACTCTAGACACGAGAAACCAATAAGGTATGGTTTGCTAAATGCTAACCTGGGGACCGAGGATGCTAAGAGCTCTTTTTTCTCTAAATGGCTATCCTGCTTTCACTGTCTAGGATAGATTACCATTGAGGACTTTGGGAGGCAAGGTAGTACTTAATGTGGAATCCCAGGACCTAACTTTGAATCTTGACCCCGCCTCTTGCTACCTATTTGACCTTGGGCAAATCACTTAACTTCTCTGGGCTTCAGTTTCCTCAACTGTAAAATGAGGGGGTTGGAATAGATGAATGGGCCCCTTTGGCAGCTTGATGAAGCCTATGGACTCCTCCTCAGAATGTTTTCTAAATACATAACCTAAAATACATAGTATAATAAAGGTAACTAATTACATTAAACTACAGTCATCAAAATACTAAAAAAAAAAAAGAACAACCCAATTTCATGGACCTCATGTTAAGAATCCCTAGTTTAAAAGGGAGAAATAAGCAAGTTTATCCTTTGCTGCTGTATTCTTCAAAAACTCCTCTTACCAGGGCCCTTGTGACTGCTGAAAGCAAGTCCTGTCCATGACCTATGGCCAGCTTGTTCATGACTAGGTATGAATACTTGTTCTCCAAGGTCAGGGGTTAAATGTGCTATTGTCTCATTTTTTTTTTTTTTTTTTTGGTGGGTGAGGCAAGTCAGGAAATACAAGGGACTGCAAATGAAGACTTTATTCCTTAGATTCCTTGTGCACTGATGATGTGTATTACACTGGGAATTTCCAAGCAATGTGGACATCTAGTTTTTGTTTTTTCTCCTTTTTGTAAAATAGAACTTTGCCTATCATCTTTTAAGGAGAGTATAGCAAAAGGGGAAACCCTGAATGCCCTGCACAGTCCTTAGCAGATTGCAAAGGTTGTATGGGCTGAAAACAAAGCCTCATGGGCCCAGGTTTCTGCAGCACCGGCATCAGGGATTTCCTTTAAAGCTCCAAGGATCAATGTTTTCCAGAACTAATTAGCACAACTTGAAAAATCAACTGGTGATATATATATATATATATATATATTTTTTTTTTTGGTAGCAAGCCCCACAGTAGCACCAAACTCAGTGGTTGAAGATTGCTGGCTTTGCTGTTCTTCACACTTGTCCAGCTCCCCCTCCCTTTAGACCCACAGGAACACCATAAGGAAACAGTCCAAGTTAAGGGTGCAAGGCAGGGCAGCCTGCTGCTGTCTTGATTTGTGGCACTTCCTGGAGAGCAACATGTCCATCATGGCTGTTCCTTCCTTTGCTCAGAAATTCTCGTGAAGCAGCAGGGGCAATGAATAAACTGACAGAGTTTTCTTTATGTAGGTTGCATGGTGAAGTCATCCTGTTTTTCAAGAAATCTTCAAAGCACATATTGGTGGCCCATCAAAAAAGCAGACCTGTGGTTGCCTTTGCGTTTTAAATAGATGGCCTTTTTGGTGAGCCACCTTTGCGAGGAGATAGGACGGCGTCACTGGACGTCCATCCACATGTTCTCATCTCCCTTTCTCAGTTATTCTAAGCCGGGGGTCCTTAATCTTCTCTGTGTCATGGACCCTTTCAGCAGTCTGATGACTTGGACCCCTTCTGAGAAGGATGTTTTTAAATGCATAAATAAAATACATTGGATTACAAAAGAAGCTGATTATGGCAAAGGAGTTATCAAAGTATTTTTTTTTAAAGTTCATAGATCCCAGGTTAAGAACCCCTGTGCTTAAGGGGAAAAGTTGGGGGAAGGGCTAATAATAGGAGAAGAAGCAGTTCTCTTACAGGCAGAACTCTATGGCTTGGCAGCTTGTTCTAAGATGTTGCACCGTTGCAATTTCCCCCCTTGCTTACACAATAGAACTGATTTTAAAAAATGAAAGGGATACCATCCAAAAATACTGGCAGTATTTGGCTCTGCTCTTCACTCCAAGGGAGCAATTAACTAGTGCCCATCATCTCCAGTGCTTGGCTAATGGTCTAATAGATAGAAAGCTTGGACCAAGCTGATTAAACTTAAGGAGTTTCCAATAGTAGATGTTATTTTTTTTTAAAAAGGGAGACGGGCAAATCAAGGGACCGGGAAGTTATCTAGGTCTATTTGTCAAAATCAAACCATAAGGGAAGACAATAATCTAAGGGGTAACCTGGCCCAGGGGTTCACTGTAAATGACTAAGGAATATGTAAGAGAGAAAATGGCATCCCCCCTCTCAGGCTTAAGCTATTTACAAACTTCTATGTATCTCTGCCACCTTGTTAGCAATGGAAGATTTCAGATTTTTAACAAAAGCTGTTAATATCATCTATTGGGCTGATATCTGGTCCCTGCAATTCCTCGCTCAGGAATCCTGAAATACATTTGATCATGTGTCTTGCCTGACACCTCAGCTCTCACTATGGATATTGTCACCACCCCCAAGTCAGCCAGAACAGGTTGGAAGAGCTGTGGAGGCTCATTTTGAAGCATTGCACTTTAAAAGTTGGAATCTGTGAGATGAAGACGAATTCAATTAAGCGGAAATGAGTTTTGTTTTATTGCCTGCTGCTGAAGGGCTCTGGGCATGCTGAAAGCTAAATAAAAAGCACATCACTGGCACATGCTTACTCTCTCTCAGATTGGTCAATTGGCTTTTTTGTCTCCCAGCAGTTGTTCCACTGGCATTGACACAGCAACTGAGACCAAAAAAAAAAAAAAAAAGAGAGAGCTCAGCAAAGCCACCCCCATCCATACCCACCCTGCTTGGTAGGACCAAACTGAAAGCACATAGCTCGTTTTATGATCCTAGCACTGGTGAAGGAGACAGCTGGCAGTTAGCCAAGGCATCAATCACTCAGCTAAGCTGGGCAGGTTTCAGAGTGCAGGCTGTTTGCTGTGTCCCAGGTGGACAAGAAAGATACCCCCAAGCTCCTGCAGTCGCCCACTTGGACAAAGATCCTGTCATGACTCCCCACTTGAGAGCAGCATCCAGCTGAGCAAAGGCAGATTCAGGGCTGCAGGATCCCAGATGCCAGATTACTCTGAGCTTGCCTCCCAAGCTCCCCTATCCCTAAGCTCTTGACTGTCACCCTTACCCTTCACAATGTAAATTTTGTACAGTTAAAAGGAAATGAAGTCTTGTTTCCTGGGGTGGGGTGGGGGTGGGGTGGGAAGAATGAAAGAAAAAAAAATACCCTGCCTACCCTTATTTATTTATTCCCACGTGTCTTTGGATAACAGAAGCCAGTGATTTTGTTTGTATCTGCCTCCTGTGCGTTGGCATGAGATGTGTATGGTAACACTTCATGTAAAATAAATATGGAAAGTTCTTAAGAACCTCATTTGTCTGGCTTTTTATTCACTGTTGAAGTAAAGAGACTAAAACATCAGAGTTGAAAACATCCTTTTGTCACTGGAAACAGAAAAACCACCAAATGCTCATATTTCAA